ATTAAAAGAGAAAATCCAGTTTCATTTCACTTTGGTCCCTCGGAATCGACTCGCACAACTTTTTATTTCGAATAAACATCCGCGGTTTATTGATCAGCCGCTACCGGCTTAGCAGGAATTACTCTCCAGAATCTAGAGAGTCGCGCAGTTTTATCGACGATGATGTTCAACGAATATATGCAGGTAAATTGAACAGCTCTACAGCTTGTAGGAAGAGGCAGACGATGATTCCTCGGCCGTGGTCGACGATGACGCGACGAAGACTTTCGAATGGAAAACTCGGTCCCCCGGGACGATGATTTCCCGTGGATAGATACCCGGTCGATTCAGTTGGGTCCTCGAAACGAGGTGGAAAGTGGGTGCAGCGATGGCTAGAAGAGGAAAAGAACCGGAAAGATTGGACGGTAGTCACTCGATCCAATCAAAGGGTCCTTTGAAGAACGGCGAGGCGCGCAGCTTATTTTCCACGCAGGTCTCCGTGCCGCGGGACGAAAATACGGCCGATGCTACTCGTTTCGGAGCAGACGTTTCTTAAATAAGCCGGTGGGCTCCCTTCGGCAAAGAGAAATGCACGAGCCTCTTCGCCGCCGTCACTTCCGGGCTGATGCATGCGTCACCTTTCCCCGTAACTTCGCCGGGAAGACTGAAGCATTAGGCTCGTCTAGACTTCCTACAGGCTGTTCCAAAATTATTTCAACAGACAAACATCGGCCCGAGCCCGTGCTAAGTGGCTCCTCGAAGGGGATCTGTTATCGCTTTGCACTCGACGTTACTCACAATCTTCGAAACCGACGCATTTCTTTCGATTTGTAACATTCACTGCGATATTTGCCAGCCACGAAGATCCCGTCATCGCATCGGCCTATCTACAACATCGTCTAAACATTATACAAGACTGGACCTCCAAATGGAAAATTAAAATCAATGAAGCCAAATCCAGTCGTATAACCTTCACTCTCAAAAAGGGTCTTTGCCCCCCCATATTATTCAACAAAATTCCTATTCCCGAAGCTACAACGGTGCGATACTTGGGCCTTCACCTAGACAACAAATTAACCTGGAAAAAGCACATTACAAATATAAGAAAACAAGTGAACCTCAAACTCAAAAACATGCACTGGCTTCTTGGATACAAATCAAAACTTTCACTAGAAAACAAAATTTTACTTTACAAAGCTATCATCATACCGATATGGACCTACGGACTAGAACTCTGGGGAAGTGCCAGCAAAACCAACATAGCCATCATCTAAAGAACACAATCCAAGGCACTTCGCACAATTATTAACGCCCCTTGGTACGTTACCAATGAAACAATTCATAATGATCTTGGTATTCCCTTCGTCATTGACACCATCCATGAAAGAAGTAGGAAGCACTTCACTAAATTAAGCGAACACACAAATCCACTAATTATGCCACTCATACAACGACAATACAGCAGGAGACTAAAAAGAAGATGGCCAATCGACCTTAAATGAGGTTCAGGAGGACTTTTCATTGGGAAAGCCCTCATCATGCTATTAACACATCAAGTCCCCAGCGATCACATCGGCCCATAGAATTTGTATTCTGATTGCTGATTTCTACTAATAAAAAAAAAAAAAAAAAAAAATTTGTAACATTCATATTTTGTATGATCGCTTTCTTTTTAAGCGACGCTGAGCTTAATTTCTGGTTCAGCATTTTTCGGCACATTCGATACTAATTTTTAGTAATTTATTGGACACAGACGAATTTAGTTATTTGCGGACGAGGATTTTTGAAAAGTGCTAAGAATATATATCTCAGGGAATTACATATAGTAATGTCTCCCTTACTGACGCTCGGATTGTGCACAGAAATGGATTTTCAATTTCGGAAGAGGAGATACGGTTATTCAAGCGTTGCAGTTAGTTTTTATAGTTGCCGATCGTCGACAATCATAGAAACGAGCCGCAAGCCTCGATTAATCGTATCTCCTCTTCCCAAATTGACTATTTTTCTGCACAATTTGGGCAACAATTAGGGAGACTTTACTGTAGATCGTTTATGAACGATTTATGAATAGAAAGTAAATGAAAAATGACGAATATTTCTTGATCTTTAATTATTTAAGTTTTTGTTATAGACAAAAGGTGATAAAGTTCATTGTTCGCGATTAAGTCGTTAAATGGCTGGATTTTTAGTGCAGACATTTTATTCCAATTTCGGCTTGAATGCTTGCTGGATTTCATAGGTGAGAAAGTTGAAGGGACGAGATTTTTTAACCGTTTCATCGTTCCAACCAATTGCAATCTAAAAAATTATGTACTCATTTTCTAGGAAACTAATCGATTTCATATCTTAAAAAGATTCGAGTCATTTGGAACAGTTTTAAAGAAAAGTTATTCCCTGGGAAAAGATAACATACTTCCCGACGCGTGAGTACATAATCGAATTATGTGTTCGCAACTTTTTAAATAAGACACACAGTTCAGATGACGTCGCTGTGTCGTCATTTGTCTTCAAATGGTTAACAACGTAAATATTCTTTTGAAAAATTGACAGAACGGCGACAGGGGAAGTAACGAATAAAAATCCTTTGCACTCGAAGCCATTTTAACCGTAAATCAACAATGATTTTTCTGACCTACGCTGTCTCTATTTTATATGACAGAGCGCATTTTATGCATGTGAAATTGAGTCTTGCGACTTACACAACAGTCATACATTTAACAATTTTCCGAATCTAAATTTTCTTGACGTAAGAATTATATTGGAACGTGATATAAACATTTTTTAGCGGTGCCTCGGAGTCACCACTCGAGCGCAAAGGGTTAAATAACGAATGACAAAATATTAACAGTTATAAAGAAAATATAAAAGCGTCACGTTCAACAAGATTTTCGTGTAGCACAGCTCCACGTACAATATCACGGACGCTGATTGCATATTCTATAGAAAATGATATACAGCAATTTATTTAGCAACGCCCCGAGGGAACTGTGCAGTCTACGAGAGTCCGCCTAACGAGACGAGTCACCGAATCCAAAGAAAAAGGCTGCGCAACGTTCGCGTAATCGACGCTGGCAACTGCAACTGCCGACTTCCTGACACGTCCCGTTCAGGCACGTCCGCTTAGAAAAATTCTTTCAGCGTTTGCTCAGCGTGTCGGCTAGAGCGATCGACACTCGGGGAACGTCGCAATCATTTTCTCTTTCGGCGTTCCGCGAAGACGAAATCGTAGGGCTGAGCGGAGAGCGCGGTTCTCCGGGCGCCGCTTCGAGGAAGCGATTTCCCTGAAAAGAAGCTCGGTCGCTGGAAAACGCCTGGCTCGTCGAGTCGCTCCGCGAGCAGCTCTGCCCCTAATGAATGGATCGCGACGAGTGATCTATTCCGCGTCTAGGATCCATCCCCGTGGATCCCGCGGCGCCGCCACGCCCGGACGCGACAGTATTTCAGCCGTCTATTTATAAAGAGTGAACGAACGAACGGCTCGGATGCAGCAGCGGACGCAGGCGAACGGGAAGCGCAGCAACGCGCGCGCGAGCCTACGTCGCTGATCCGGTTAATTCTGGGATGTTGGATTACCGGGGAAAAAAATCCGTCCAGAGGAAAAAACGAAGCACCCCGTCTCCACCCGAGCTGCTCTCGCGTGCTCTGCCCGCGCAGCTCCGGGCGCCCGCGAGCGCTATAAATATTCGACGGTTCCGCGCGAACTGAAAAATCGACCGCGAATTATCGTCCCGGGGAACGCGATATTTTAGCGGGACGGTTTTTACGGCCGGCCACAGATTTGTTGCCAGCTACCAAGAGACTCGTTGTTTGGACGTCGCCCGACAAACGAGCGCAGCGTTTTCCCTCGCGTTGCGATCTCGCCTAATCCGAGAAGCATCTTCGAGCTTATCTTGCGTTCGCACGAATTACGGAGCGATATCGTCCACGGTATTTTCACAGCGATTGCAGAGAATTTCTGGGGAATTGCACCGCGGATTGGCGCACTCGGGAAACGGAGGTTTTTCCATCCGTTGAATCCCATCGGGCGCTCCACGACTCTAATAATTGCATCAACCAACTGTTCGATACGGCAAATCGTTTTAGCGACCTTGTTCGCTTTTCTTCTGACCTCCTGTTTTTACATTTAATAGCTCGCCCCATGAAATTGGGATAACAGCAATCATTTTGTGTCTCTCGGCGTTGCATTTCCTTGTTCTGTAATTTTTCTATCGTTTTCAGTGGTTAGTTGATTAAATTCGAAGCAGCGAAAATCAGTTAAAGAATTTGACGATACTGTTGCATTAAAATTATTGAGAAAACAAACAAATGTTTGTTAACCCTGCAGTCCTTGCATTATTATTTCGCATGGACTGCTTTCTATATTGCTGTATCTATTGGGTTGGCAACTAAGTAATTGTCGATTTGTTCAACGAAATAAAAAATTTTTTTTACTTGGAACGAAGTTTAATCCGTAATGTATTTTCCATTTTGTTCGATAACCTTTTGCCATCTCTCTGACAACTTGAAAATTCCACGCTTTATTCACCGATAATAAAAAATAACATAATAATAATAATAATAATTTTATAATATAACATTTACGGATATCATAAAAATGGGAGTGAGAGACATCTATAACTGAAATCGGCAATTACTTAGTTGCCAACCCAATAATACTGCTTTCTATTTCCTATAAATAATATATATATAATTATATATATATATATATATATAATATAAATGTTGTAAATAAATGGAAATAAATATTACCGGCAGCGAGATGAATTTGATAGCGAATCGTATTGCGTTTAATACAGCAAATTTTGATAGCGCTCGTAGAGGCCAGCGTGGAAATATTGCTCCGCGTGGGAAAGTTTGCGATACCGCGGTGATCAATTTGATCGCGTTTCAAATGGAATTTTCGAGCACCTGCTACGAAAATTTCATAGTTTCCAGGACATTCTACGAACCGGTTAGAATCGAACAATGCTTGGTTTGTCCTTTATTGTGCGTCTATTAATCTTCGTCCGTTCTGTTTGCAGATATTCGGGGCACGGCAACACGAACCGTATCTATCATGTCGGTTCCTATTTAAGGTAAGCGGCATTGCTCTTCGATTTTATCGCAGTTTTGCAAACAACGAGGCTTTATTCGCGCGGCGCGGTTACGATTGTGGCACAGTCACGGTCCGGTTCAATTTTATTCAGTGCTCTCGAGGCGGATACCGGGCTCGCTTCAATAGCGCTCCCAGCGTTCCTATCTTTAGTCGTTTTAACGTTTTAACGCGCTCGCTACCATGCGCCTCGTAACACGCAACTCTTTGTCCGAGAATTCGGTCGTTCGTTGCGGGAATTCAAACTTTCGATCGTTCTTTGTCCGACAATTCAGACTTTCGAGTCTTTCGAGTCTTTCGAGTCTTCCAGAATTCAACAGCTCTTAGCGCGAGAATTCGAGCTTTTCGAAGTTCTTTGAGCCAGAATTCGAGCTTTTCGAAGTTCTTTGCGCGATAATTCAAGCTTTTTGAATTTCTTTGCATGATAATTCAAGCTTCCCAAATTTCTTTGAGCGAAAATTCAAGCTTTTCAAAGTTCTTTGCGTGAAAATTCAAGCTTTTCGAAGTTCTTTGCGCGATAATTCAAGCTTTTCGAATTTCTTTGCATGATAATTCAAGCTTCCCAAATTTCTTTGAGCGAAAATTCAAGCTTTTCAAAGTCCTTTGCGTGAAAATTCAAGCTTTTCGAAGTTCTTTGCGCGGAAATTCAAGCTTTTCGAAGTTCTTCGCGCGAAAATTCAAGCTTTCCGAAGTTCTTTGCGCGGAAATTCAAGCTTTATGAAGGTCTTCGCGCGAGAATTCAAGCTTTTTGAAGGTCTTCGCGTGAGAAGTCAAGCTTTTTAAAGGTCTTCGCGCGAGAATCCAAGCATTTTGAAGTTCTTTGCGCGAAAATTCAAGCTTTCCAAAGTTCTTTGTGCGAAAATTTGAGCTTTCCAAATTTCTTTGTGCAAAAGTTCAAGCTTCCCAAATTTCTTTGCACGAAAATTCAAGCTTTCCAAAGTTCTTTGCGCGAGAATTCAAGCTTTTTGAACTTCATTACGCGAAAATTCAAGCTTTCCAAAGTTCTTTGTGCGAATATTCAACTCTCGAAAGCTGAGATTCATTGGGAGTCGTAGAGTACCACGATCGAAACTGTACCGTTTGTTCGAGTTATACGTTCGTTCCTCGGGAAGCGCAGAATGCTCGAAGGTAATGTCAACAGCTGACTAACAATGAATGCATAATATTTGATTTGAATTAGCAATAGCGCACCCTGCTGTCGCACAATTGTTATCTTCATTTCGCGCGAAATGAACGAACTTATCTCTCAACGAGATCAACAACTTCGGCGTTCTCGGAAAAGCTACTCATTTTAATACTCGGGATCCAGTGATTTTTGTGTATATCAGAGATAGCAGCGGTAACGTTTGTTGGGCGATTGCATGGCAGTTATCTGTTTTAATATATTACTGGGGAGAATGAGTTCGCTGAATTCAAAAAGACGATAAGGAGAAATAAATCTATTAAATAGGTAAATTCTAGTGTAAATTGTCTTTGGCATTTTTTTGTGGAGAAACTATGACACTTATTGCAGTCAAATTTACAACGATTATTTATAGGTGTTCGAATAACATTTAAACAATTTTTTTGGCTCGAAAGGGTTCATATTGATGGCACTGAACACTCTCAGACACAGTTAAATTTTGAAAAGGTCGTCGAAATGAAAAACGAGCATTTCAAATAGCCGTTCCAAATTAGGAACATTGCATAAGGAACACGGGGTCATGGCATGAAAATTGTGTTCCATACTAACCACCTACACGTACTTCATTATCTTTTATTATTATCGTATTGAATAAATATTTCGAAGCTCATTACGTTATCTAGAAACATTAATCTGTCGAACAGAAATATAAATATGCAAGATAATAATCTCCTATCGCTTGAAGAGCGTTCCATGTTAGGTACTTTTTTTAGGACTATTTCTCGACCTATCCTGCTTTAAATGAGGAAGAATATTTTTCGCTAAAAGGTGGGGTGTTAAAAATGGCAGGCAAAAAGGTTAAGCGGATAAGCGGGCAAATCGACGGCGTATCGATCTGTCCCACATAATTTTTCGTCGGCGAGACAAAGGACGCCGGAGAGGGGAAAAAAACGCAATATAACGGGTGCATTATTCTCGAGGACACGACAAAAGGCAGCGGACGAGGCCTCGGTATCGGGCCATCGTCGCTGGATACGCCGGCGATGAGAGAATCGATGCATCGATGTCTCGATGCCTCGTTATAGGCATAGGTGGTGGTTGCGCGCGGCACTAATTGTCCGACGGTACCGGAAGCGTGCAATCATGCGGCCGATCGACGGAAAAACGCGTCACGTGTCCCTCGATTCAACAATTTTTCAGCTCTTCCGTCCCCATCAACTTCGGCGAGCAATCACAAGATTCGTTCCTGCGAACGATCCAAGCGACAAACGAAACAACGATCTCCGTCTTTTTTAACAATTCTCTGCAATCGAGAACGCTGGGAAGACTGCAAGCTTCGCTGGCGGCGTTGCACGTTGCACAATGCGGCGCTTGTATGAGCAACCGGGACAAAAATCATTGCTTTTAAGTCAATTAATTCTCGACCAAAACGCCTTAATAATTTGTCGAAGGAAATACAAAGATGCATCGATTTGCTTAAAAGAAATTTAAAAGAAATGTGTATGAAGAAAATGTTCATTTTGCACGAAGATCCGCAGTCGAATGATTAAGCACACGCTGTATTTGGGCGACGGAATCATTTGCTCAGATTTGAAAGTTATAGTAATGTTTCTCTTATTGACCCTCAGATTGCCCACAAAAATGGACAATTTAGGAAGAGGGGATACGATTATTCAAGCCTTGCAGTAGTTGTTGGCAATTTGTAGTTGTTGTTGCCTTGTTGTAGTAGTTGAATTAAATATTGAATTAAATAGTCGAAAATGAAATAGTTGAATTAAATAGTCCTTGTTGTAGTAGTTGTTGCCTTTTTATAGTTGTTGACAACTCGTAATAATAATAATCGCATAATGACAACTATAATAATGAATCGCAAGGATCGAATAATCATATTTTCTCTTCCCAAATTGACCATTTTTGTGGACGATCGGAGCGTCAATTAGAGAGACATTACTGTAATTCGCACGCGAATCTAGTATATGTTCTTTATTCTATCAAGATTCGCAGAACGCAAGAATGTTGAACAAATAACTGATGCTGCAGGAAACTTGCCAATTCGAATTGCATCGAGTGAAATACCTTAATCCTACGAAAGTTTTGAGATGGTTAAATTGAGATGGCATGGCGGTCGATGTGTCAATTAAACTGCTTCGACGTTCTGAGATTTTTGGAGGATGTGATACGGTCAACGAAATCGCTTCGGATGGATTTTGATTCCGCATGAAGATTCACAGTCCGGTAATACCTAGCAATCGGTTGCATAAACTATACCTATGCTAAAAGGACTGTTACGAGACAGGAATTTTATTGGCAGGTGAATTAAAGCCGGTAGAAGAAACTGGCGTCCGCGAAGCAGCAAGGTCTGAGAACGGATGAAAAATTGAACAGGGAAAGAAAGTATCTCTGCGGGATGCTGAAAAATTTAATGCAAAACGAGATACAAGAAGGAGAGAGAGAGAGAAAGAGAAAGAGAGAGAGAGAGAGAGAGAGAGAAGCCATCGGAAGCGGTAAAAGTAAAATCGTCGATCGTGAATAGCCGCGGATAAAAGCAGCGTTTCACTTTTCGGGCTTGACGAAACAATTAAAGGCTCGACACGTCTCGTATCGTACTCGCGCTTTCTCCGCGAACGTAAACGCGGAGAAGGATGTTCCGTTGAAAACGGCGATAATTGCGCTGCTCCGTGTTCTCCGTCACCCGTGCAACAGTATTCGAAAGACATTGCCCGCGACATTTTAATGGACGCTTCGACAAGTCCTATCCCGGGCGCATAAGTCGCCGTGAAAGTTTCGTCGAGGTTAATCAACAATTAATCCGCGAACGTTCCCCGAAGCGACAACATCCTCCATCGGAAGGAAAGCTGAGGTGTCGCCGAAAATAGCTCCGGGACGTCCGAGATCGTTTAACAATTTATTCTAACAATCCAACTTATTTCACCGATTCAATTACGATTCAGCGAATGGTACATGATTAATTAAAGGTGCGCGTGATTAAACGAATGATATATGTGCTGTTACTGGTTTAGTATAGTATTATACTATAATAATATTAGTAATATAGTATAAGTAATATATAATATAATATAATAATATTATGTTATATTATATTATTATATTACTTATACTATACTAATATTATTATAGTATAATACTAATATTATACAATATATAATATATATAATATATATATATATAATATAATAATATTATATTATACTATATTACTATAGTATACTATAGTATAATGTTAAGATATTATTTGAAACGGCAAATAGTGTGTAAATAGATATCTTGTTAATTTGTTATTTGTTCGAAAGAATGCATTTAACTTTAAAATAAAGTATTTTATTCTTCAATAAAAAAAAATACTTCCGAAGGCTTTTCATGCTGTGGATTATCAAAATCAAAAATTTATCTACTGAAATTTTGTTATTTTATACTATTTTATTTGAATTCTGAAGAATCTATTATTTAAAATAGTATTTCAACTTTTTTTTCCTCTATAAACATTACTCAGATCTGATGGTCATGCACGGTCATGCTAGTTGCGATTTAAATTTTAGCTATCTTCCTCAAATGAAGTGAGCGAAGCCAGTAGATAAAGTAAATTAGGCTAAGTCTGTTGTGAATCAAGCAAGCAAACTGCATTAGGTAAAGTCTGTTGGAGATACTAGATCAATTAAATTATGCGAAGCATAACATATTTGTGAAAGTAGTATTTACGAATGTAGGTAAAATAAATTAAGCGAAGGCTATTCGTGAAATTTGCAGATAAAATAAATTCAGCGAAGGCTATTCGTGAAATTTGTAGATAAAATAAATTAAGCGGACACTATTCGTGAATTTTGTAGATATAACAAATTAAG